ACAAGGACTTGCTGTGATCTAGTAGAATAATGTTGAGAAGGTTGAACGTGCAAAACAGCTAAAGGTTTTGTTTTCTACAGTGACTTACGACGATGAAAAATAACATGACCTAGCTTCACATCTCCTGCTCAATTAGTCGCAGCTTCCATTATTGTGGCAACATCAACATGTGTCACAATGACAACACTACGTCGCTTTCAGAGGGAACTTTTTTGTTGCTGGGGTTTGCAGTGGAATTGGTGACGTACATGCAATGTTTTCCACTGCTTCTATTACACTTAAAAGTCATTAAAGTCATTAAGTGAAAAGGTGAAAGTATTATATGGATCTGAAGCAGCAATTCTGTGCGTCTTTATCTCAAATGTCAAATTACACAAACGAGTACACTTGGAATATTTTGGGCATTATTGTCATTAACTGACGCAGCACCTGTCATGTTAATGACATCTTTATTGCAAGATGTAGTTCGGTCTGTGGAATTTCCTTTGTGCGTGTCGTCTGTTTGATCGATATTTCGCAATCCCTTGTGGCAGAACTGTACAGACAGGGCATTAATTGTTTTTTCATTTTCCTGTCTGGTAAACTAATGCAGTATTTAATGTTAAGTGGTGTGTGATGTGCGCCATAGTGTAAAGCATTGCTATTTCATGAAAGAAACGCTCTCCCAGTTTGGAGTCCTGATCAACACCATCCAGCCACGCTAGGGATGAAGCTGGAACTCTACCTGCCAAAGGTTTCATCACCTTTGACATCAGTGGACACTCTGATGCTCGGTGCTGAACAATTCTGCTAGCCAGACTCCAAAAGTCTGGTGGATGAATGCTGAAACGTTCTGACTGTTTCAACGGATCGTCACAATACTTTAGCCATTAGTAGCCTGTAACATCCTTTGCTTTGGTATTATCTTTAAGAATACAAATACTACCTCAGTGTTGAATTTGTTGTCAGCGTCTAAGATGTTAGTTTGTTTTGACTACAGTAAATTACTGGGAGAAATTATTGCATCACAGATTACATGTAATGATCTCTAATTATTTTTCATATTGGTGCACTAACTTTTGATTGGCTTTTTTGATTGAAGAATTAAAACATCCCTCATTGTGGCATGAATCTACTAAAATACAAATACATGAGATTTCTTATTTTGGGAGGAGGTAGTCTCATGTTACGTTGTTGGGGAGGATTAGTCATAATGTGATGCCAGAGTTACTCAGTTTAAAGAGAGGAATTATGCTAATGCTCCACACTCATAGGTTGCACTTTGGTGGGGTTTTGGAGCACTCTTCATTAAAGGCTGAAACCTGTAATATGAACATATCCAGTCCATTCCTTTGTTATCGTACTCCTCTCCCATGTTTCTGCAAAAAGATAAAAAATTAAGTCACGTAATTACCAAGTGAATAACTGCATAGTTTATTCTCATATTTGTTTAATTGTAAACTTAAGTGTGTTTATTTACGTGTAACTGCATCATCATCAATAAAAATGAAGCTTGTTGAAAATGAACATGAATTCAAAGTAAAATAAAATGTTCGTCATGCACTGGAAAAGTGATCACTCCTAACGCAGCATTATCATGTAAGCACAGTTAGTTTATTCGTGCTGATGTCATGTTTTGTACATTAATTACAGATGTGGATGAACATGAAAAGGTCTATTGAAAGTTCTCCTTTGCAACATATGATGCGTTCAGTTACTATATACCAGTGAATGAGAGATATGAGAGACATGTATGGAAGCTGCACACGCATCTGCAGCGGCAGGTTCACTAAGGTGACTGTGTTCTTCACTGTATGATTGACTTCTGTAGGGTATTGTATCAGCGACATCTAGTCAGAAACGCGAGCTGCTCCTTGCTCAAAAGCTGGTTATGTATATAAGATATTGAAGTTAATGATAGTTATGTGGTAGTGAAAAGGAAGAATTAATGAGAGATTATATAAGTTGAATTGTTGTGGCTGAAGATAATAAAGTGTCTGTAAAATATTTTGTCAAGGTCAATGATGTTAAGCCATCACTCTCTATACTCTCTACGTCTATAATTTCTAGGTTCATGTCTACTTTTGACTTGTCTTGTGTATTCTCTAGAATGTTGTAGAGTAAAGAGAGAGGAATGGGCATCTGAGTAATGTGACTAGTTAATTTATGAACTCTCAAATGATGAAAAGATCATCTCATGAGTGTGAAAGTAGAACGCTCTAGTGTGTATTAGAGCAAACGCATGGATTATTGCATTATCTTTTAAAATTTTATCACTCAAGAGTAAGACAAACATACTGATATTTATAGTGCTAATAGTGAATTACATTTGATAGCAGTTTCTCACATTTTGAGAAATAGCAGGAGCTTCATACTCGATTTACTCAAGTAAGTATAAACAAGGTGGCAGGTAAGATTTACGAATATTTTTATGTGTAAATTTTATTAGTCTTTATGACATACTCACAGTTTATTTATATTTCTGTAGTGAGAATAATAATTTGGGAACCTTTTTTGAATTGATAACAATGAAAATCATGAGACTGAGAATTAGCCGCCTTGTGATTGTGGTTGCGCTCCGCACGTTCAGCTATAGTTTCCGATGACATAACGACTGGTTTCAGAATCATTAAATCATTGTGAAGATTTGTGTCAATAAGATTGCATGGAGTGTGAAGTCGTTGAGGTAAGTGATAAGGTCTCTATGTTGAGACGTGATCATTAACTTTGATTCATTGTGACACATCCAAGATTAATTGATGTCAACTTAGTCTAGATGTTGTTTGACCATAACCGCTAGGCACACCTTCTAACAACCATCTAATGACATTTGTAACCGCGAATTTGAAAAATACTTAAGAAGGGGTGAATTCTTCTGAGGAGTTTCTCCAGGTATTGTGTTCACAAAGGCCAAATATGTGGTCAATGCTATGGTCACTGCTTTTGGTTGTGCGCACCTTATTGCTGTATTGGGCTTCAAGGTACGCGCGTATACCAATGTAATCCAGTGTATGTCCCTGTTGAGCGCTAT